AGACACCTTGGAGTTGAGATGGATAAAGTTATTGAGCAGGAGGTCAATAAGATATTGAAGGTGGGGCATGTCATTGAGATACAATTTCCAATGTGGTTGTCAAATATAGTTATGGTGACCAAGGGGTAGGGTTAGAGACCTCAATAAGGCCTGCCTAAAATATCATTACCCTCTACCAGGATCGACTAGCTGGTCGATCTACGACAGAGTGCTGGCTCCTGAGCTTCATGAATGTGTTGCAGGGTTGTCATAAGATTCCATTGGCCAAGGAGGATAGGAAAAGAGTTAGCTTTATGACAAACAAGTGAATTTATTGTTATTTTGTCATGCCATTTTGTCTGTAGAATACCGGGGCCACCTACTAGATGCTGGACGACAAAATTTTAAACGAGCAGTTGGGTTGAAACATGAATGTATATGTCAATGATATGTTAGTTAAGAGCAAGCTAGAGGTCGATCACATCGTAGACCTCAAGGAAACCTGGAACTTTAAGAAAAATTGGAATGAAGTTTAACCCGGCAAAGTCTGCATTTGGAGTGAAATCAAAAAAATTCTTGGGTATATGGTTACAAAGAGCGGGACTGAGGTTAACCTCGAAAAGGTGCAAACTATTCTAAAGATGCAACCCCCCTAGAACATAAAGGAGGTTCAGGTGTTAACGGAAAATATTGCGGGATTGAGCGGATTCATCTTGAAGGTGGCTGAAAAGAGTAGCCCGTTATTCAAAACCCTGAAGAAGAGTGCTTGATTTTTATTGACAGACGAGGCACAAGTGGCCTTCGAGGAGCTAAAGTTCGTCCTGCCCGACTTACCATTGTAAGCCAAACCAGTTTAAGGTGAAGATTCGATACTCTATATTTCGTTCTGCCCAATTTACTGTTGTTAGCTGAGTACGATCGAAAGATCACCCTCGGGTCGTCTTCTCGAAGGAATGTGACTCGGAGCTTCAATTACGCATTATTTGGCAAAAGCACAAAAAGGAAAAATAAATCCTAGACATTCTAAGCGCGAATGAGGATTGATTTTTAAGCTAAAAGTAACTAATCAATTAATGAAAGATGAGAGCTTGGGAGAAAGTTCTAGACTTTACTTGCTTCGGAGTGTTCAAACTCGCAAAAACAAACAAAAAAAGAGAAAAGAGCTATAACTAATGCAAATAGATGCTAAAGTTGAACGATCAATTGTGAAATGATCGACCTTAAATCAAAGTCTCGAATTTTACATTGAAAAATTCAAACTTTAACAACCTAATTGCTCTAGTCAAGCAAAAGAAGACAAAAGACAGAAGAACCGAACCTAACACATGCATTACAACAAGACGGTTACTTTTTAACACTAAGTAAGCAAAAATAGAGCAATAAACGAGATAATAAGTCCTAACACTAGGTACTTACTTCCCTATGCATTCCCGGGGAAAATAGAAGTGAAAAGGTCGGAAAATAAAATAATAGAAACTCAAGCTTAATCCTACCAAGTTCGACTCCAGTCAGAGGAGGATAAAGTCTCCTGGAAAGACCTCAGTGAAACAATAATTGCTCATTATCGACCGGGAGAGAAGAAGAGAAGGGAGAATTGTTCCACGACTCAAATCAAGTAGTCGAAAGTATGATTTGGTTTAGGAAGAGCAAGCTTAAGGGGTAAGAGGCCCGCCGGATGGGAGAAAAGTGGGGTAGAAGGTTAAATGAAAAAAACAGCTGGTTTTTCAACCTGTGATGTTGGAAGGGAGGTTGTTGATAAATTTATCTCGGTTATGAGTTGCGAGGTACAAGGTGCCCTTCTACTCTTTCCCTACGTAACATATAAGAAGAAATGATGGTCAGTGTAACATAATCTATAGTGAGAAGGTATAGAAAAGACCACTAAATGTTTGAAGGAATTTGGGGAGAGTTGGTTGATGGGAAGTCGCATGTATCGCACAGTTTGGACTTGGGGGAAACCGGAAAACAACAAGTAGTGGTGGTCGACGACGGACTAGAGCAACAAAGACTTAGGTATTTCTCTAAAAACTTGAGAGATTATATTGCACATAAATTTTTGCAAAGGTGGAAACTAGAAAATTTGGCCAAGAATCCTATTTATAATCAAGGGAGAGGAAGGACAAGAGGTGGATGGATCTTGATCTCTGGATAGAGGTCAAAATGGACGAACGAGATATAAAAGGCTAGTTGAAGAGTAATGTCGAGTAGAACTCTTGGATTGAGGTCTGAATGGATGGGCAAGATTGAAATGGGTAAGCTGAAAAGAACAGCTCGATTATGAGTGTTGGATTAAAGGGAAATTGGAGGGACAGAATTAATGTAACATTTAATGGGCACACAACACGAGAATAATACAGATTGCTAGACAGTTACGTCTAGAGGACGTTATGCTGGCAGAAGAGACATCAGGTTGACCTAATAATGTCAAAAATTTGAAAATTCAAATTTTGAACTCGAGAAGATCAGTCTCAGGTCAAGAAGATTGTCCCGATTAATCAAAAGAAAACATGAGTGGGGAGGTTGATTAGACAAGTGGCGAGCTTAGTAAGCGTGACCAAAGACATCCAAAACTACTCTTGATCGAGTTACCCTAGCTCGACCTGAGTGGGGAGTCTAGATGATATGAGATACCATACTAGATCGACTTGACCCGAGAAGCACCTAGCCGAACCACGTGAAACGGTAGGTCGATCAAAGATCAAAGATACCAGAGGTCGAAGAAGCATACATCATGTCGATGGTGATGTCGCAGATAAAGAGGATCGAGCTACTAGCCGAGCTAGGGCCCTCGGATGACATGGTAGAAACTCGACTTGGAGGTATGCAGGTCGATGGATCGACCTGAGGGACATAGTGCATGAGCACAACAAGAAGACAATCTAGCTCAAGCGGAGCCGAGTTGGTCGTATGATTAAACCGTCTAATAAGGCAGACTAATGGATAAAAAAAAATATATTTAATATAAGAGTCACACGTGGATAGGACCACATGACCTAACAGAATTAGGCAGTTCAGGCACCTGGACAGTACGAAATGGCAGTTTGGGCACTCGAACAGTCCATCCAGGCAGTCTTGCGCAACAAGGTAACATCCTTATAAAGAGGTCGGGTATGTCCATTTACACTTTACACACTATACATACTTACAAGCTATATTACTAATGTTCAGCCTACTTCATACACATTCTGACTTGGTCGTTGGAGGCTTTACATCGAGATCGCTCCCGACACTTTTTCGCAGGTTTATCGACCCGATCGAGAGAGCAGATCTAAATTGTTCAAGTCCGATATTTTACACACCACAACCTAACATTTTTTTTTTTTTCAAACGATAGATTTATAAATAAAAGACATACTTACAACCGGCTAACTAGCTGGAAAAGGGAGGCCTACCGCCAGGTGGTTGCCTAAAAACACAAAATACTACAACACCACACAAAAATTAAAAACTCCACTAATGGACAATACACGCTCCCCGACGGAAGAATACACGTACCCCGATAGGAGAAAACAAAACACAAACGCACACTAACAATACTAAACAAACACGAACACAAAAACAACAAAGGACGGGAAATTCCAGCACCTCCACAGTCCGGGTAAACACCCAACGCGAATTACCGAGAAAAGCCACGAGATCCATGGCCCAAACACAACGGATCTAGAAACTCCCCTAATGGGCTAACTAGATCCGGACCACAAACTCGACAACCATAGACCCAAACCAGGCCGGACCACTCCACAGCTTCCCCACGCGTACGTCGGAGTTGCTGCACCACCGCTGCTGGAGGACCCATCTTCCAAACACCAGGGAAAGCCGGGCAAGGGCCATCGACCGCTGCAAAGACGTCCACGGTGTCCGTCGGACAACAGCCGCTAGTTTTGCCCGTCTTTCCTCGCCCGCCATGGCAATCTGAGCGAGATCGGAACCACTCGAGGAGGTGAGGACGGGAGAAAGCCACAGCCGCGCCACTGGGACCTGGAGGAGCCAGATGCTTGCCGGAATTAGGAAGATCTAGGGCCACCGGAGGAGAGGCTCACACACGAGCGACTAGGGTTTGAAGTTTTGGAAATTAGAGAAAGAAGGTAAAGATGGGTTTACCTAATCTTTTTTACTTTTTTTATTGACTGCTAAGGGTATGTTTACATACAACCTAACGGTTAACAATCTAAAAACAACGCTTATGATTAATTTACAGATGAAATGTAAACTATTATGTTAAATAAAACAACAAATAAGTTCCATCTGTACTTGACATGGTGGTAAACACATGGAATTTAGCGATTGGTAAAGAAAATTACTATCTTCTTTTATTACTTCTATTGATTATATATCATATTGAACACAGATCGTACTCTAAAAAACAATTAAAGGACAGAAAAAGGTAAAAAAGTACCAAGAGAGCAACAAAAGGAGGTACTATTTCATGTTATACAACCAAGGAGTCAATTCAAAGATGCAACTAATGAGTAAAAGAAATAAAACTCAGGTTAGTTTACATTTCGACGTTTTCTCATTTCTCCAATCAGTCCAAAAAGAAGTTAGCTAGTCCTGAATCTCCTGATCTCCAAGANAAAAAAAAAAAAAAAATGGTAAAAAAAATTAACTATTATTATTCTTATTATTAATTAGTTTTACTTTTTTGGCATTATTATTACTACTTCTGCACTACGTATTTAAGGGAAGAGGTTGAGAAGTTTTGGCTTTTTGGCACCAGCACTTTTAGCCCCATTATCGTCACTACTGCTCCCCCCAAACCCTGGCGACACTTCCGATAATCCCGACATCGTGTGCTCCACGCAGCCCCATCCACCGGCCGCCGGAGACCGGTACTCTCCGACCAACCCTCCGGTTGGCCCATGCATGCCAGCCGCCCTGTGCCTCGACGGATCCCTCTCGCCTCCCGGCGCCGGGATGCCAACGGCCAGCGGCCGGAGCTCGCCGCCGGCGAGCACAGTATCCACCGCCATCTGACAGATATGCCAGTTCCCGGTGGACAGCAGCCCCACCGCTCCTCCCACCGGATTCACCGTCCTCCCGCACGCCTCGAACAATAGAGATTGAAATAAAGCTGCACATACCGAATAATTAATTTCCAGAAGAAATTATTATTATTTTCTAATTAATTTCCGGAAAATTTATTATTATTTTCTAATTAATTACCGGGCCTTTTGTTTTCCGGCACGGCGGAGATGAAGGACATGAGGTCGCTGCGGCCGAAGAATTTGGAGACAAAGATGGTAGCGTTAGCTTGGGCCTGGGGATTTTGGATCCAATCCAAACACGGCCTTAAGATGCAGTTTTCGCTGCAACCTCTCCTTAAAACCCGGCACCCATTGCAGCTCATCTTAAAAGAGGGGAAAAATTAAAATTATCTATATATATATATATATAGAGATATATTATTTTTGTTTTCAATTTTGAGTGTGTGCTCTTTGTTCTGTGTTTCGTCGGCTCAAAGCAAAAAAGGAAGAGAAAGTGCAAAGAAAAGAGGGGTAAGTGACTGAGTGTGTTTTTTGTGAGATGGTGTTAAATTATAGGGAAATGGTGTTGGAAGTAAAGTTGTCACAAAAAGTAACCCTGGTTGAGTTGGGTTTTATAAGGGCGTGTTTGGCACAATGGGCATAAACTGAAAATAAAGCTTTTCATTTTTCTTCTATTTCTTGTAAAAATAGAATGCTTGTAAATTTCAAGAAGATTCTTTGACAGATTTTCTTTATTATGGGAAGACTTTTTTTTTCTTGAACATGGGAATTTTGTTGAAATTTATAGGAAACATATGCTTGCTTTATTTGATTTTAAAGGATTATGCAACATATTGTGGTAGAAAAATTGTGTCCATATCATTATTATAACTTTTGACTATCGTTATTTTTTTTGTCGTTGTCACGTTTTCAATAATCTATATACGAAAATATGTCGTTTTTCAACAAAAGTAAATCGTATACGATATAATTATTAGATTCTCGTTTTACCAATTTATCATAAAAGTAAAAAATACGAGATGTCATCATTAGATTCCCATTTCACACTCTCCAAAAATTAGACATTTAAGTCTTGTTAAGCTAAATTTACATTCTAAAAAGTTTTTTAAAATGAATGTTCATTGTTCAATCTTCCGCCGGGATTTTCAAATATTTGGGAATCTTAATGTGTATGTGAGCTCAATATATATATGCTTAGACAGTCCATCAAAAAATTGTATGAAAACAAACACTATTTTGCATGTGATTAAATGTGAAGACATCAAATACTCAAATATTTGTGGTAAGAATTAAGAAAGAAATATAGACAGATGAAGAAAATCATCAACAGAAATTCCAAAATGTCAACTAAACAATTAGTTAGGGAATTTAATTATATACATTTACAATAGAGACACCAAGGTTAAGTGAAGGATTAAAAGTATTTTCAAATATTGAGCTAAGAATATGAAAATACTGTAAGTTTGATTATATTTATAATTACATTAAAAGTGTTAATTAGGAAGTGCTTTAAAAACAAGTTATAGATTGGAATATTTTTTAATATATATATATATTGTTAATAAATTCACATCTTGTGTCTACATTTTATTATGTGTTTTTTATTTGTAATTTATCAAATTCAGATGTAAACATATAGATATATAATACAGTTAATGATCTTTTAAATTTTTTTTGAGGCCCTAAACCTAGTGTAGGTCGTCCATGCTTCTATATCTAAAGTTTATGTATGAAGCACACCATATCTAAAAAAAATAAATATATATATATATTAATATTATATTATTAGAAAAAAACTACTAATTATATGTTTTAAACGGTTTATAGATTGTTAAATGGTATGTAGAATAAACAGTCACTAAAGCCGTTTAAAGCTATACAACAAGAAATACATATCATAGCTGTTTTNTATTTTATACATATATATATTTTTTTAACAGACATTTTGAACCACCTAACATATTTAAATACACTTCGTATTTTCAAGTACTTTGAAAATAAAAGCCCCGGCTCGGGTGGAAACAATGATGAATCGTTGAAAATTAAAGTCCAAAATTTGAATTTACCGTGTACCACTTGATAGAAATTACCGTCGTAGTTTTTTCGTTTGACGTGCTTCCTCAACCTAGGCCCATTTTTAGGCTATTGTGTCAATGAGCAATAAATTGGTTGAAAAATCAAAATAATAATAAAAAAAACCAAGAAGAAATAAAAAAGAGACAAAAAAGAGAAGATTCTGTTTTAATGAAAACAAACGCGGCCTTGTTAATGAGATTGGTGGTGGTGATTGATGGGAAGGGAATATCTGGCTCCAAACTCTGGGTTCGAGCGGCTCCGTGTTTTCGCGGTTTTCTTCAGTGGGTGAATATCAGCCGTTAGATTATACGTATATATAGTTTTATAATTAAAAAAACAAAAAAAAAAATAAACTTTTAAAAACAATTATTTAAGTATTAGGTTGATCAACGTCTCCTTTTCTATTTTCTATCTATGTGGGACCCAATGGAGCCCATTAACTTCAAACTCCTCCCCACTTGGGATATTATATCTATTGTTGAAAAAACATTAAATTGAGTGGGTGTTTGGCTAAATTTACGCCCTACAAGATAATAATAAAACTAAATATAAAGTAGTCTTAAGGGTCCTAAAATTAGGGATTTCTGTAATAATAATATTCGAAATAAAGTGTGGAGAAATTGTAAGTCTTGTGGTGCGATTCTATTTGATTGTTTTGTGGATTAGCAGTTGAATGTTGGGAGTCGCTTTTAATTATGTTACACTGCAAATTCAATTGGAGATGATGGTTTAAGAAAACAAAACATGAAAGTTGTGTACCAAAATTCTATCTTGACTAGAAAAGGTCCAAAAAGGAGACATATATTTGAAATTTGGAGTAGTTGGAGTTACGTCCTCTTTAGAAAAGTGAACGCTTCAACATATTATATAGACAAAGAAGTCCATATTAGTAAAGGTATCAATAGGGATGTTATACATGTATATATTTTTTGGACAATTTCTTTCACACCTCAATACTGATATGGTCTTCTTTTTATACATTGTTCTATAAAAAAAAAACATATTTTCACCTCAAAACTCACGAAATGATACGCGGTATAAAAATCGTATATCCAAGTAAACTGTATAATTAACTATTATGCGAGATATTGTTGCATATATACTAACTCATACCCAAATCAGAAGGATAGTTAAATATATTGCGAAATATTTCTGCATATGTTGTAATCGCATATCTAAATTTACCGCATAATTTACGATATCTGAAACTATTTCACATATATGGTTATCAGATATTCAACATTGATAACCGCATATTTTAAGATTATGTGATTTCTCATAGTTTACGACTCGCATGTCCAAATATACTGCATAATTTACCAAATGCATTCAGATATTCGGTTATCAGCTATCCAAATCGAACGCTGCATATTTTATGATTATGTGACATATTTTTGCATAGTATACGACTCGCTTATCCAAATCTATAACACCGTATAGTTTACTATATGCGAGAACTTTTTGCATATTAAATAATCGCATATCCAAATTGAATGTCGCATATTTTATGTTCTGGGTAGGCTTGTCAGCAGAGCTCGAGCCTTTAACGAGTCGAGCCGAGATCGGCTCGTTAAATAAATGAGCCATAGATCGAGCTCGAGCTCGAGCCGAGTGATATTCATCATATTTTCATGCATTATGAGTGATATATAGTGATATTTGGACATGATTATCGTGTGATTGTGCACCATTTTGTGTTATTTATTAAACTATGATAGAGGTGTTTTTGTCGTTGTTTTTGCAGGAAATATGCCCGGAAATGCGTTGGAGATGGAATCGGGACGAAAAACGGCGAAAACGGGTGCAGAAGAGGTCACACGACTCGTGTGGATAGTGACACGGGTCGTGTGGGTTGAAGAAACATGAGATGCAGCTACGGCATTTTCACACGAGTCGTGTGGGTCGGGACACGAGTCGTGTGTCCTCACACGACTCGTGTGACCCGGTCGTGTGGGTGCTCGTGTGAGTCTGGGAGTTTGCCGAAAATTGGAGAAAAGTCACACGACTCGTGTGGCATGTCACACGACTCGTGTGGCGCGCAGACCAGACCTGCGGGGAATAGGATTTTTACGCGTTTTCTTCCCTTTTTCGACCCTGAATGACCCTACAGTATAAAAGAGGCCTTAGGAACTCGTTTTTGGGACTTTTAGACACCATTGGAGGCCTAGAGAAAGCACGAAACACACGAGGGATTCGAGGAAGTCAAGATTGAAGATTCGGGAACTAACGGCGACAATAGTTCTTCTTTCTTTTCTCTTTTTCGTCTTCATTGAACTCATGAATATATTTATTTTGAGTTTTGAGAATATGTTTAGTAGCTAAACCTTTTAGGGATTCTAGGATTTGCGAGTACTCGGATTATTTAATGAAGTGATTTTGTTTATTCATTCCGGTTTATCATTCGTTTATCAATTTCTTGTGCTTTTGTTAATTGTGTGAATATAAGGGCCCGTATTTATGCATATTTGTGATTGACTTGAGACCGAGAGGAGATAGTTGATTGCTAGAATTGGAAAATTCATAACGTAAGAAACTAAACAGACCGAGAGGTTGATAGAATCTTGCGAGGGAACTAGAATCTTAGGAGCTTATGGGAGTTGATTGTTCATCTTGAGACCGAGAGGAGATAGATAACAGTTAATATCTACGATTTAACTTGTTCGAGAGAAAGGTGTAAATTACTTTAGTGATTATCCCTACGAATGGTAGAATTAAATAAGGTTTGAATGAATAATTAATCTTTGTTAGAATAATCCCGAGGAAAGCATAGCCTAGAATCTATTTTCTCATTCTTGATTTATCTTAGAACAAGCCTTCATTAGTGTTAGAATTTATTTTGCAATCATTCATTAGTTTAGAATAAAATCACCATTCAAATTTGCATTAGACTAAATAATATTTAATCGTTTACATTTTGATACTTGGTTAATTTTGACAACAATCTCTGTGGAATACGACCTTGCTCGCCACTCACTATAGCTATACCGTACACTTGCGGGTAGTGAAAATATTTTGCGAACACCGAGCTCGAGTTTTAACGAGTCGAACTATTAAAAATTATATAATAAATCTCTTTTCGAGTAAGACAACGTCTACCAACACAAATGACTTTAGGTAGCAGCATCAATGGTAATACTTTACAAATTATTAGTTTATGTATCATATTATTGTAACACTTTAAAATTGTTACAATAATATGATACATAAACCAATAATTTGTAAAGTATTACAATAAATGGTGTTGCCTAAAGTCATTTATATTGTAGTGACGTCATGCGTTGCATGCTACGGTGCGAGGCAACGTCATGCCTTGCATGCTTGTCGGGTAAGGCGCAGGCAAGGCGACACCTATGCGCATTGATGGGCTCAGACGAGAGAGTTAGCTAGCCAAACGATACATGGTTTGACTTAGGTTGGTTTAGAGCCAAGAGGGCTTCGGACGATGCGTTTCGATGGGCGCGTGCGAGTGTAGTAACGATTTCTAAGACATTGGCGAGAACGGTTGGGATTTGAATGATGCATACTGACAGCACGTGGACCAGACAATTTCTTGGTCCAAGATGGCCTAGGAGGTCTCATCCGTTCGAGATGGCGCGACTGAGTGGGATCAAAGAAGACCATACGAGGCACGTGGCTAGATGATTGCGAGGAACACGTGACCGAGACGGTTATTGACCTGCGTTGGAGTTCGGACAAGATAGGCACGAACAGTTGGCAACCACACATTGCTAGGGCTGAGTTGGCAAAGAGGAGACGTGGGCACTTCATCGTTGGGCAGTTAGAGCAAAACTGCCAAACGGTTTCTAAACAGTTTCCCAACAGCTAGGGTTAAGGGATGCGTTGTCGAGGCCTTTAAATAAGTAAGACAAGCAATCGCGTACAGAGGCGTGCGAGGCCGAGAGGCTGAACTCGCCGAGAAAAAAGCCGAGTGATCCACGAGATGACTGAGGGCACCGGAGTGAGCTAAGAGCTCCAGGTGTCAGAGGCCCGAGAAGGGAACTAAGTTCAGTGAGAGAACTCGATAGAGTGAGCGAGAGCACCAAACACGAGGACAACGAGTGACCAACGAGCGAGGGAGCGAGCAAGGTCTTAGTACTTGTATTTTAATGAGGCATGTATTGGGTTCTAGCATATCTAACAACATGTGTTGGCACACATGAAATATTTGTAGCGTGTGTAAGGCAATGTCTGTAAGGTTGGTACTAGATTTGGCGAATGTTAGATAAGAGTGTAAGGCAGGGGGTGGCATCTCTTGATACGTGGGTAAGACCAAGATGTACTAGAGTGTGTCTGCGTGCACAAGATAGCTTGAAAGATAACTTAAGTGGGGTGTTGTATCATGTATGTGCGAGCCATGACATTTCCATGTGCAATTGAGTTATTATAATCGATGGTTGGGCGCGAGCCCATAAATGTGTTGGTGTCACTTGTTGCTTACTTGATACTTCCGCGAGTGCACGAGTGACGACTTGCACCGCCGCCTACTATAATTGTAGGGGCGAGCTCAAGTTTGGCATGGCGATTGAGGCTCACTGGTCGCGGATATCAAGCCGCATGGGGTGATGATCAGGCGAAAAATTTGTGCTTGGAAGCTGGCCCTGTAACACTAGAACTTGTTAAAACTTTTTAAGATTTGTTGTAATTTTAAAAGAAAAAACCATATGTGAAATATATATTTATATATATATATATATATATATATATTAAATTGTTAGCTAAACATTTAATTTCACCTGATAAATTAAACCTACATGGCAGACGTTCCATACTCCAAACATTTTGTTAAATAGTTTTTTTTTTCGAAAAAGATAGATAATATTATAAATCAAAATGCATAAATGTGCGAATACACAACCCCTAGCTGAATGGAACAACCAACAGCTGAAAAGTGGAAAGACAGGTCAGAAAACCGCCTAGAATCTCGACACTAGCAAAGCTAGAAAAACAACACTCACAACTACACTAAACCAATTACACCACCAACGGAAACTACTAAAAAAAAGATCCCACTAGAATAATACTCAAATGTCCGATCCCAACAGGATAATAAATTGACACTCGGACACACAGATGCCAACGACCCAAATAAAAAACACAGACCTAAACAACACAAACGCAGACGACACTAACCAACAGAAAACTAAACATAGAAACATAAAAAACACAGAAGCCCTTCCACATAAGCAATTCCGAGACGAACCAGCCGACACCAAATCGACCCCAGAGGAATCCCTCAGCCCAAGAAAGTCGACCCTTCACTGCCAAACCGTCTAGCTGAGCCGAATCCCAAGCATCGAAATACTCCCAAAAAGTCGATTCTGCCCAAAGTCGGAAACTCCAATAAATCACCCAGCCGCCACAGCACCGAGTCGACTAACACCACTAGCGACTCGGTATCGCCGGCAATCTCCCCGGAACCCAGTGCCAGAGAATCGGGGAGAGGGAGCAGATCCGAAGAGCGCAGCCCTAGCCACTCCAGTCCGAAGTCGTGAATCGCCAGAGCCGCACCCGACCCCTTCCCACAGAGACCGCACCTCGCCCATCCCCACCTCAGCACCACGGTGGTCGTCGATCGGGAACCAGAGGCAAAGCCAACCGGAGCAAGCGAATCGAATCCGGACGAACTCAACCATAGGAGTGGCAGGACCAGGGAAATCGCAGTAACCGGGAAAGGGCCGAGCGGCCAGGGGAAGACTATTGGATTAGCCCGGAAGCGTGTGGAAGGCGACGAATTTTATGTCGGCGACGGGGAATAGAGATTTGTGGGGAGAGAGATTAGGGCTGTGTGATGTGGATCAGATCTTTTGACCCTGCTTGTTAAATAGCTTAAAATTTTGGAAACATTTATTGATTATTTATTGTGGAAAATTACAAACGCATTTTAAATTCAAAAAATAAATTTTCTCCGGTTTACTCGTTTGTAAGACATCCGTACTTAATGGTTAAGTTGCATTTTATGGGATAATTGCATACTTCAATATGGAATTCTTTCATTTATTCAGATTTTAAATCCATTCATTTATTTACGTTATTATAAGCTAGACAAAAATTCTAAAAAATACTATTTCAGTAAATTTTTAACAAACTACTACAAATTAAAAACTATACGAGATCCTGCACGATCACTACAAGAAAATGATGAAATTCCAACGGAAATATATTCCAATAGAATTCCAACGGCAACTCCACTATATATTTCAATGCTATTATTTCCGTTAGAATAATTCCAACGGAAATTCCAACAAAAAATATTCTGTTGGAATGAGTTTTCCATTGGAATTTCCGTTGAATTTTGACGATTCTAACGGTAGATTTTCCAACGGTGGTGGAAATAAAAATTCCAATGGAAATTGTATATTCCAACAGTCAAAAACCGTTGGCAATATAACCGTTGGAATCACCAAATTCCATCTAAAATTTCAATGAAAATACATTCCAACGGAATATTTTCGTTGGAATTTCCGCTAGAATTATTCCAACGGAAGCTATACCATTGGAATATCCGTTGGAATTTCCATTGGAATATATTTTCATAGGATTTTCTGTTGGAATATAACAATTTTTTTTGTAGTGGAGGTGAACAATTTTAAAGTTATTTTCTAAGTCTTTTTTATGTTTACGTAAATAAAAAAAAAAATTAATTAAAATAGAATAATAATAACATTATAATGTTTTTCTACCGTTCCGAAAAAAAAAACATTATAATATTTTCCGTTTGTCTTATATGCAAACAATCATCCCCTTAAACTAATTGCTAGCTAAAAATTTAATTTTACCTCATAAATTTTACCTACATGGCAACTTTCCTAACACAAAAACCGTTATAATCTATTATTATTATTATTATTTTACATTAATCTACCGTATCTATTAATGATAAAATATTTTCTTGCACTTTTTTGGATTAACTAAGACAAAAACAGTTATATATTATATTAATTGAGTAATAATTATATTTTTTATTATTAAAATTAATAATTTATTTTACACTAAATGATATAGTAAGTTACATCAACATAGAGATTATATTGTAATTTTTTTTTTGTTCAAGTTATTTATTCTAAAATCGATATTATATTTTTTATATGATTAAGCTATTATTTTTTAAATAAATTAATTTATTTAAATGTCATAATAAAATTCTTTGAAATCACATAAGCAGTTGTTATAATAAGTTTTATATTTTTCAGCTAATTAATTAGTCATGATCCCTCAAAATTACAAAAATTATATTATTTATTATATTTAATGCAATCAATATAGTAAGTCATATACAATCATATCCTTATATAATTTATTTTAATCAATGATCACACTTTAAAACATAATACTATTAGCTAATATATAAATTTAATATTATGTAGATAAATATAACTTATAATACTCTATATTTAAAATATAATAATATTATCTAACTTATAATTTTAATATTATATATATATAAATAATTTATATTATTTTATTTAGATTTGTACAAATGCACGAATACTAGTTAAAACCTTCAAAATTATTAATATTTGGCATATTCCTCTCAAATATTAAAATTTCATAGTCTTAAAATCTCGTTTGAAATCCCAAACAAATATACCTCATATTCCCCCAAACTGTCGCGTTTCCAAGGAAATCGAAGAAGAAAAGAAAAACAAAAATCCTGTAGAGAAAATACACGAATGGCCGGCATGGAAAGACTGCACCGGATGTTCGCCGGCGCCGGCGGTTCCCTCGGCCACCCTCCGCCGGACTCCCCTACCCTTGATTCCTCCGAACAAGTTTACATCTCATCACTAGCTCTTCTCAAGATGTTGAAACACGGTAAATCTGTCTTTTTCCTTCCAATTCGATTTTAGTTACGCAGACAATGTTACTGCACTCTCGATTTCAGAGATCCTACTTGAAATTGATGGACTTAGGGTTGTTTTTTTTTCAATGATTATTTTCAGGTAGGGCTGGGGTACCAATGGAAGTTATGGGTCTGATGCTTGGGGAGTTTGTGGACGAGTACACAGTGCGTGTGGTGGACGTTTTCGCTATGCCACAGAGCGGTACTGGGGTCAGTGTTGAGGCAGTAGATCATGTTTTTCAGACTAATATGCTTGACATGCTCAAGCAAACTGGCAGGTATGGAGGGATAAAAGTGATCTTCCATTCGAAGGAAACTTCTTTTTACTGATTTCTTTGAACTGCAATTTTAACCCAGTTTGATTCTGTGAAAATGTATATCTTCGGCAAGTGGAGTACTATGGTGTGTTGTATGTCGTGCAAATTAAAAGGGACCGAGTGCTTTAGATATCTATGTGAATATAGCTTGGTATATGGGATGGAAATGATATCACTAAACTGTTCAATTGGCGTGGCTTGAGTGTATTTGGTTGGATATTACTGCCTGATTTCTTCTTAGAACAATTTATTTCTTGTTATTTCCATGAATTTGATTTGGCCTTAGTTGTCGAGTTGTAATTTCCTCGAAGTTGAGATTATTATGACTTCACAAGCCAGCCCTGAGAAATTGCTATATTCCTAATTGTAATTGAGAAGTCTCGCTGGATGTCAATTGTTGGTGATGCTTTCACTTGATGAAAATTAGGGCGAGGGAGAATATTTTGTGGTCACTTAGCATTTATGCGCACTTATGGAAACACCAGTACATAATAATCTTTTATGGTCATTTGTCTGCGTAAAACATGTGTTTTGTTGATTTTATCGTATTCTTTGAATAGAAAAAGTTGCCTATTCTATTTTCGTCGCCTAATCTATTCTGGCTTGATTGAAATGATATCTTTGCATCAAATGGTGAATCTCAGTATCTTATTTCGGAAGTCCTATTGGATAATTTGAAGTGAAAGAATCATAGTACTAATCTTACATTAGAATCGCCAATTAGGAACCCCAAACCTCTTAGGGTGGTTGGATATAAAATATTACTGTTTTGATTGGATTTATCGGAAAAGTGAGTTAAATTTGAAAAACGTTGATCGAGTGGAAGTTTAAGTGAGATTTTGAGTTTGTATTTAAACAATATTTAAAATGTAATGATTAAAGTTGGTGTGATGTAAAAGGAGGAGAATGTTTATTGGAAATGATAGGTAGTTAAAATTATGTGAGTGGATAAATAATGAATTTAAGTTGATGTGATGTTTGATGTGATGTGTGACAATGATTAGTTGATACTATTTAATTATATTGATAAAATTGAGGAGAGTTGAGTACTTGAGTTGGAATAAATTTGAGTTGGATTTTGAGTTAAAAAAAGTTAAAAGAATATTCCGGTCAGATAAACCAAATATTCTTATATCCAATCACACCCTTAGTGTTTGCCTTCTCAATTGTTTCAAGTTTCTGTACTTAGCTGTTCACCTTATGATATCCTTACGGATTGAAAATTTGACGATACTGTTGTACATGGTCTGAAATTCAAAAAAGTTCTCATCTTTCTCTCATGGAAGAATTCTCATTTGGCTCTTAGTTATCGAAGAAGAGATGATTCAATGCATTCTTTCTTGATCAATATACTTAGAAAGCTCTATTTCCTCTGTAGGCCCGAGATGGTAGTTGGTTGGTACCACTCACATCCAGGGTTTGGGTGCTGGCTATCTGGTGTGGACATCAACACCCAACAGGTTTTCTCTTCTTATATATTATTGTCTTGTTTAAATATTGTTCACTAGATGTCTGTTCTCATATAATGTTATCACTTATCATTGTTATTATGTATGCCTATTTTATGTATTTGTAACATTTACTTTATGCCCTTTTCCTTTTGGTGCTACCATTTTATTCTCGTCATTATGTATTTGTACGTTCTTGTTGTGCCGGTGTTGTTAAGTTACTCCCTCCATTTCTGATTAATTTTTGTTCTAGAGAAAAATAAGAGAATTAACAATTCATGTCTTGCGTACTCTTCAAATTTCTCTAAACCATATATTTAGATATTAGCATCCCAATTTTTTTTTCTTTCCATATTTTAGTAATTTTCTTGTTTTCTTATAGTTCTCCTCTTTTTACACTTCAAGTCTCTTATAAAATTATAATTGGGAAGAGCAGTCTAAAATGACAACTAATTAGCAATGAAACATCCAACTCCAACCTAAAACCACATTCAAAGGTCAACTGAGGGAGTACTAATTAGTCTTCAGACCTCTATTCTTCGGACAAGAAAGAAAGATGAATAGTTAAATTTAAGAGTGTGTAATTCTGCTTGATTGATGTATTACCAATCGTTGAATTCCGAACCGCGGCATTGCAAAACAGGGTGAAACCATTATGACAATTGCCTGGGCCAACCCAGCTAGGGCCTTCTCCTGGACTCATTGCTTTAGATAATTCAGTCCGTTTTCAAGGGTATTCGTGAATTTCTTTTTCTTTTTGCTCGTTTTCTTTTGGTTTAGTGGTGTAGCGTTGGTTGAAGTATGCTATGAAACCAAACAGACTTCAACAACTTATTATTGTAGGGAATAAATTTATAGGTAATAAAAATAAAAATAAAATCTTTGGTTGTTTGTTACTAACTAGTATGTAACCCTTGCGATGCACGAGACAAATATGTTAAATGGGTCAAGTCTCATAGGGTCTGCCGTTTAGCTTGAATCATCAATTTTCCCACTTGTTTTAATGTAATTCTTTTAAATTTTGCTGGACCGTCAAACCTCAGCCCGTTAGGACTAGCTAGGGCTGTTATGGAACCGAACCGAACCGAGCTTAAGGTTTTTGAGCTCGAATTCGACTAATTTTCGAACATGTTCGTGCTCGTTCCTTTAGTAAGCGGAAAAAAAATTTCGTTCGTGTCCGTTTGTTTATCTAGTCAAACTTGTTCGTGAACTGTTCGAATTGTTCGACAAGTTCGTGTTTGTGTTTGTTAATTTTTTATTTTATTTTAATGTCATACAAGTTATTTTATTTAATATTTAATATGTATTCATATTTATATATTATATTATATTAGTACGACAACCGTGTATTACACGGGTGCTTGCTAAAAACTTTTTTCTTATAATTTAAAATTAATGAGAAAAAGTAGTTGAAAATTTAAATTTTTTTTATAAATAAAATATATATTATTATATATTTTAGTATGACATTTGTTACTTGTGCAACTTACTTGTGTTATATTATAATAATTTTTCTAACGTATAACATAACTACATTAAACATAAATATATTAATTGAGAAATATTTTTATATTTCTAATTAATTTTAATAAATAATTTTATTATTATTATAAAGATAAATATAATTTAGTTATTTATATTAACAATATGGATGTCAAATCGAAGTTCATCAAAAGATGATTAATTTGATATATTATATATGTAAAACCGATAAGAAATACAAAAGTTATCAACTTTTACAATACATTTACAATTCAATGATTATAATAGGAAATGATATTAAAATACAATTAATACATCTAAAATCATCATAAATAAATCTACATATTTATGGTAATCCGAACCTAATTATTTTTGGATTAGAATTAAATTAAAATTTACCCAAGCCAAAAAATAATATTTTATATAAAACTAAATTATTTTAGTTTAAAAAAATTAGTATTTTTTACATATGCTTCCTAATTAAACACCCGTGTATTACACGGGTGCTTGCTAAATTTTTTTCTTAAATTTAGAATTAATGAGAAAAGGTGGTTGAAAATTTAAATACTTTTTATAAAAAATAAATATTATTATATATTTTAGTAGGACACTTATTGCTTGTGTGACTTACTTGTGTTATATTATAATAATTTTTCTAATTTCTAACATATAACTATATTAAACATAAATTTAATTGAGAAATAATCTTATTTTTCTAATTAATTTTAATAAATAATTTGATTATTATTATAAAGATAAATATAATTTATTTAGTTTATATATACAATATGGATGTCAAATCGAAACTCATCAAAAGATGATTAATTTGATATATTTTATATGTAAAACCGATAAGAAATACAAAAGTTATCAACTTCTAAAATACATAAATAAATCAACATATTTATGGTAATCCGAACCTAATTATTTTGAATTCTTAACATTTGATTGATATAGGATTCTTAACCTGTGTAATTTTTGTGGGGATGGTAATTTAAATAATGTAGAGAACAATTACACTTTATTCATTTAATTCAATAATAAATATAATTTTGGAGGGGATCGGATTAAACAATATTGATATAGGATTCTTAACATTTGATTGGTATAGGATTTTTAACCCGTGTAATTTTTGTGGTTCAATATTGATAATTTCACACCTATTTACACGGCATATAAAGTTGGATTGGTTTATTTTGGAATATAATTGATATAGGATTCTTAATATTTGATTGGTATAGGATTCTTAATTTTTGTGGTTCAATATTTATAGTTTCACACCTATTTACTCGGCATATAAAGTTGGAGGAGATAAGAATCCTATTTATTTTGGTTTATTTTGGAATATATTGTATTAATTTTTATTCGAACCAAAAGCCGAAGCATGTAATGTTGCCAAGTAAGCTTCCGAAGTGTGCGAGCCAGCCATTTAGGCTCAGCACGTTTTGAAATTATATTAAGGGGTATATGTATATACTCTATATAATATATAAAATTACAAAATATTTTTATTTTATTTAATATTTAATATATATTCATATTTATATATTATATTATACATGTATATACTATTTATAATATACAAAATTATAAAATATTTTTTATTCGCGAACGCTCGATTAGTTCGCGAACTTGTTGTGTTCGTTCGATAACTAAACGAACATAATTTCATGTTCGAGTTCGGTTCGATTGCTAAACGAACGAGATGTTATCGAACACGAACGAGCTTTGTTCGCGAACAGCTCGGTTCGATAACAGCCCTAGGGCTAGCCTTTAAGTTAATCAATATTTTATCCCACTAACTCGTTTATATTAATAAAAACAAGATCTTAATGCATATAATTATTTCTTTATATAGGGAAAGATAGTAGTTTTACTCTTTTTTTTTTTTCGTTCAACATATAACACTCAGTTATTGTTTTATTCTAAAATTTATTGTCATATAATATCATTATTATTATTATTATTTATAAAAGTTATGAAATAGTTATTTTTATGTAATTATAAATATTTATTGTACGTTAATATTCTTTAATCCATCAGTCAATCAACAAGCCGTTAAAATCCCACTACGTGGGGTCGGCTATATGGATCACATGTCACTATCGNTTTTAAAAACTTATATCTATTGGCTTTGGAAAGTTCAACTATAATTGTGAATCAAATATTGCCAAACATTTCATTGTAGCTTCAATATTAATTTTCAGAATTTTCATATTAAGTAAGCAATACTCATTTTGACGGAAAAACCATGCGATTTATAGTAAATCCAAACTTTTATATATATAAATTCAGAGTCATTATTTGACCTTCATCTTTTCCATGCAGAGTTTTGAAGCTTTGAATCAGAGAGCGGTGGCTGTGGTCGTGGACCCCATTCAGAGTGTCAAAGGTAAGGTGGTAATAGATGCCTTCCGTCTCATTAACCCCCAGACCATGATGCTTGGTCAAGAGCCACGGCAGACAACTTCCAACTTGGGACATCTTAATAAGCCATCTATCCAGGTAAATGCACAACTTTAGTTTATTCATTGCCCTAAACTTTTTCATTTGCACTATATCTTCTGATTTTCGGGAGCTGATTAACTTTTTTGCAGGCCCTGATTCATGGTTTAAACAGGCATTATTACTCCATAGCCATAAACTACAGGAAAAATGAGCTGGAGGAGAAAATGCTTCTGAACCTTCACAAGAAAAAATGGACAGATGGTTTGACCCTACAGAGGTTTGATACGCACTCCAAGACCAATGAACAGACTGTCCAGGTAACATATGAGGATCTTACTTTGTTATTTATTTTTATTTTTATGTTTTTTACTTCTAAATATTTACTCTTGCCATTGGTTCATCTAATGCAAGTATTTTTCCCCATATTGCGCTACACTGCATTTGTATTTCAGTGGTTTATGTTTGCTTACATAGGTTTGAAACTGAGATACTAAAAATTTTTGGCCATGGGGGCAAACTGTCCTGATTGAGGAACAGTAAATAATTACTTATTAAGAATTCCATGTATTGAATTCCCTTTTTGGCATATCTGTAAAGAATTTGAATTGAATGCACTTGATTTGAATGGTATGTAATGAGAAAATATTATAGATTGAAAGTTTGTAGTTCTGGATGCAGTTGCAACTAAATGGATTTTTCTGAAATTACCAAAGTTCTACAAGCTATGTAAAGTGGTCTTTGTACGTGACCAAGCCTGGGATAAATAAAACCAAGTACACGAGATATATGTTTCGGGTTTACCTTATTCGGGCCGTCGGAAAAAACTAATTGCTGATCACGGTTTCATAGTTTAGTGTTTCACTTCATTACTTAGTCATGAATAGTTAGCATGGTCGCTTCTTGTTCTATGTTGGAGGTTGATAATGCTAATTAATGTTATTTGTCACACAATAATATGCAGGATATGCTAAATCTAGCTGTTAAGTATAACAAAGCAGTGCAGGAGGAGGATGAGCTACCGCCTGAAAAACTAGCGATTGCTAATGTGGGAAGGCAAGACGCCAAGAAACATCTAGAAGAACACGTCTCGAACTTGATGTCCTCAAACATTGTTCAGACATTGGGGACTATGCTCGACACAGTTGTGTTCTAAGAGGTCAGGCAGATATTTCTCTCAAATCATCTGTGACCTTGGCTATTGGAAAAACAAACACTTGTGCTTTTGATTCGATGACTCTTTCTTGCATGTTTTCCATGTGGAGATCATTATTGGTAATTTAGATATGTATTTCATGTGGAACCATAAACCATTATTGTGCTTGTGGGGATTTGAGTTGACATCTGATATTTTATTAATTGAAATTTATTTTCAGTTTGTCATTTGTAATATGGGGGAGAAATATCTGAAAGACCCACATGTGACATAGTACACTGTACAGCTGAGTTCATTAAATTGAAATGGCTGTGCGTCAAAAAACAGCTCGGATTTTCTTCACGTGTTCAAGTTTGGGCACGGGCCTTTGTTGTATTTGTAATTGTTATTTAATTGGCTATTTTACATTTCTATTGCAATTTTGAAANACCTTGCAAACAGAAAGAAAAAAAAAAAGAAAAATCAATTTATTCACCGAACACAAACTAGTAAAAGAAAAAAATCAATTAAAAATTTAATCTTTTTACAACATAAATAAATAAACATCCAGAAATGTTTTTCAAAGACTAAAACATTATTTGAATCAAATATACACATGTTGAATATTAACTACAATAAAACTAATTAAAATAATCATTATAATAATAGTCAAAGGATGGACCATAGGAACTCAAGCTTAAACTAATGTCCTTAAAAATTATTCTCTAATAAAAAAAAAAAAATATTCCTCTAAATGGAACCAGACACCTCGGCTTAGTCGGTGTCTAGGTGTTCTTTATACGTGACCTTCCCTTTGAATCAGCGAAATCTATCATTATATAAAAAGAATAACATTTTAACAAATTTAGAAACATTTTTCCGTCAAAATCATTAAATATATTCTACATATAGTAATTATTGGACAAATCTGAATAGGTAAAAAAATCGGCTCATTAATTGTGTAAAGATTTGTTTCTCTTTTTCCTGTTTTTTAGTTTATCAAAACCGTTGTTTGACAATAAATATTTGTTTTTCTTTTTCCTATTTTTAGTATAAATCTACACGAGCTTATCTTCTGTTACAAAATCTATGTTACAAAATCCCATTGTTTAAATAATTTCTTCCTTTATCTATACAAATTTGAAAAAATAAAATAAAATAGAAACCAAATCATTTGAAAAAATAAAATAAAATAAAAAACCAATTCATAATTACTACTAGAAATCCATTATCTTTAAAAAGAGAAAATAAAATAAAATTCATAATTACTACTACAAATTATCTACTTTAAGAAGCTAATTTTCATCGGTTTAATTACTGATATTTTTACAAATATTATATGTAACACCCCGCTCATCAGAGTAAATTTTTCGCAACTTTTACTTCGAAAATACTTATAAATCTTTCTAAATCTTTTGCGACTAACTCGGGATGCTACTCAAACTCATCTTCTTGAAAATCTATTTATCTCTAAACTTTTGTCTAATACATCTTTAGACATAAAGAAAACAGATTTCCTTTAAACTTGCATTAAACTGTACCATATTCATACTTCCCGAAATGGTAAAAACTTAAAATCTGAAATGCAAGTTCAATACTTAATGTGCATAGCGGAAATACTTAAAAACGTGGTTTATTATACAGACAGATCAAATACTTAATAAATGTCCACTTGAAATAAGTGCACGATCACCACCACCACTGCTCAGCTCACACCTCTGTCCCGACCCTGTTACCTGAAAAACACAATGGGGGTGAGTACTGATCCTCTTGTACCCCGAAAAACACCCATACTAAAGTAAACAGCAATAATAATACAATATCATGATCTTTGGTATATATCTGGACTGGAAATTTGTTCCAGTAACTTAAACTGAATCTGGCCGATATCTGATCGGATACTTGTGCACAATCTGATGGATATTTCTCAAGGCAACTCAAGCGGCCTCCATCAGAACTTAGGATATACTTTAAGACAACTGAATGCCTTCTCATCCCAAGTGTATAAACTTAAACTGTATACATACTTCGGACATGATATCAATATTATACTCAATGTAATACCCAGTCTGGGTCCCCACCTTTCTTCTTTTGAAAACTTTTGAAAAATGTAAGTGTTGCTCTTGGGTAGCTATATCTGCAAGCTACATAAAAATATAAACAAATATACTAAGTACTATGCTCGTATACTCAATAAGATTTAACTCTTACTTATCCGAATCTTAAAGATATTCAATAAGCTTAATATGTCTCAAATAAATATTAAGTCATCAAACATCTTAACTTTTTCCAACATCATCAACATGATTTATAAACTCATCTTAATCTTTTACTCAATCAAATACTTAATTCATCATATATCATATCTCCCAAATTTTAAATATTGGCTTATATTAAATTTTTACTTAATTAACTTGAAAGTGAAAATAAACTCAAGTCATACTTCAACTTTTAATCATAACATTTAATCATGATATTAATATGTCATACTTAATAAAATATTTATGAGATTATATATTCAACATATTAAACTAAAACTTTGCCAAATTGCTCATCACTTATATGAGAATTGATCATAATAATCTCACTTTAATAACTTGATCATATCATGTATATTCTTGCATATATACTCATCTTTACATATATGCCTTGTAATTATCATAACTCATTCATTTCTCATCTTCAAATCATGAAATTTAACAATCATAATCTCAACTCATAATTAGACATGTCATAAAAATTTCATAATTTTAGCATGCATATACATCAAGTTATTAGAATTTAAAGTCATAGTGAGCATAAAATTCATCTTGCATGTTCAACTTCAAAAATTCATAACTCAAGCTATAATTTGCCAAATCACTTAATTCTTGTTCTCATGTACTCCTCTTTTACATAAGAATCGTTCATTTAAATCATACTTTTCCAGCGTATTCATATCTTTATCAACATCTCATCAAATCAAGCACATATATCATATAATTGATCTTGAACAACTTTAACTCTTTGTATTCATAGAATCAATTATAAATTTAACTTCTAAATCATGATATACTTACTTATAAACATGTAAACTCATTATCAAAACATGAACTTAAGCATAAAACTTTAAGATAAGTAAATTACCTCCTTCTTGCTAGAATCGTAACTTGATTCTTCACTTCTTCACAATTTCTATTACTTATCTCTCTTACACTCATATATATATTTTGGTACTTTCCTTTGGTGTGAGAACTCTGATTTTTAGGCCTCTATTTATAGGCACAATTTGGCAAGACATCATAATGGAGTAAAGAAATGAACAAAATAAACAATTTAAACTTATAAACTTAATTAATCATAAACAATTTTATGATTAACTTGTATTCTTATCCAAACATAATTAATCATAAAAAATGGCCTCTATTCATAGCCATGAATGAGCTTTTTGGTAGATAAAACTTATTCCACCAAGTTTAATAAAATTCTCACCAATTGTTGAAAAAAAATGCTAACTTAAAGACTTAGCAAAACTTTGTTGTGATTTTCTCATCTCATTCTCACCAATTGATGACCAAAATTTCGTGCTTAATGTGATGTAATTGATTCCATATATTATTGAAAAAATGTCACCATTCATCATATAAAAATCTTTGGAACAAAATAATAAAAATAATAAAAATCATCCTTTTTTATTGCTTTTGTATTTTCTTTCAAAATGGCTGATTTTTAAAACTCTTTTACTGAAAAGTAATGCTCATATATGGTCTTGGATCATGCTAATAAACCGAGAATAATACAATTTACGGAACTCAATTCGGACTTAAAACGAACGTTTACCGTAAAACTGAAAATTCTAAAATTTAAATGATTTACTCACAGTTTTTCTTCAATTTAATAAACATATTGCTTCTTAGGATCTAATAAAATTATCTTGAAATATTCTACATTTACGGAACCACATTCGGACTTAAACCGAACGATTACCGTAAAACCGAAAATTCTAAAAATTTCGGTTTCTCTTAAAATAATTTAAATAGACTATAATGTCTAAATAAATTTTCTCACTTCTTTGAACATTTATCACTTAAATGTTCATGGATACTTAACCGCACTTTGAGACTTAACTTGTATCAACTTATGCTAAAGCTCAATATTATGATCTTATCTTGATGACTTGAACACTTAGAAAAATTCTAAGTATTTAGTACTAAGGCTCGGCTATTTCTTAATTAAGTTCAACTCATGACCGAACATACATGAGTTCAGTTCACTACTTATCTTAAACGATTAATCAAAATATACTCAATTTCGATTATTTGTTATCTTATATTAATTAATCCCGTCTTATAAATCCATTTATAAAAATAAACAGACCGAAATTAATTAATCACTGAATTGGCTCGATTACTGAATAAAATTTAACCGAGAATACTTTCGACTTAAAGTCGAACTTTTAACTGAATAACTTAATAACTGGCTCGGAACTAGGAACAAGCATTATTAATAAAAGTAATTAGTTCAACTTAGAATAATTACTTTTATTAATTACTGAATGAGATATTACATTATAAGCTAATCATACAAAAAAGTATAATAATAATTTTGAAATGGTATGATCAAATTTTTTTATATTCTCTTATACAAAATAATTTTATATTGTTTGACCTCGAATCTTTAATTTATAATTATTAATTATTGTTTATCCTCCTCTTTAATTTATAATTATTATTTTTTTCCTCCTCTTTTTAAATAAGATCAATAGTAGTTTCCACTTCTGCCATTGAGTAACTCAAACTCGAGTTCTATTTATAATATTGTTAATTTAATATTGTTCCCGTACAGGGGTACACACTAGTAAAGAAAAAAAAAAAAAACGTGACCTTGAGTACTTGGTTGGAGGAGAGGAATGAGAACTTGTAGAGTTGTGACTCATAAAGTCAACTATAAACATTTTTTTATCTATTCTATATATTATTATTATTTGTGGGGGTGGAAAATTTAATGGAACAATTTATAACCCTAATAAAGATTCTGTGATATCTAGTCACGGGGCTTTTTGCATGCCGATTTTTTTGTGAAGTCAGTAGGTTAACAAAGTATCAACACTATTACAAACGTTGCTTTAACAAGTCAAATGAATAACGTGTTCAACATAATTCTGCGTTATATATCTCTCTGTATTACACGGTTTACACCTATCTAATTATAAAAAAGTAGCCGTGTAAATTTAATTTTCTTGACTATGTAGAAGTATTTCCTAAAATTTCAGTAAGCAAAGCAAAGTCCTTTGCTTTAAAACTTAATTTTTTCTCTTTTCTTAGTGATCTATAACAAACTCTAGTTTAACGCTGAATATTATATTATGACATGGGGATTCATAAAAATGAGAAAAAAAAAAATGGGGTACAACAACAAGATAACCCATAAATTAAACAAAATAATCAATTAAGATACGTTTGCAGAACGGGAATGAAGACAGGATATTATCAAATTCCAAGAATTTGGATCTCATAGCTTAGTAAATCTGTTACATGTGATTGTAATCCCATTATTGACACCAAGCTGCAGACCTTTAATTTGGCCCATAAAAGTACCCATTTTACACCAAATAAGATGCATTATTTTATTTAGATGGGTCATTAATTTCTAGATTTGAATGTGTATGTATCCTCAATGTTTCAGTGAGCCCACACAGGGTTTTTCTTTGTGTGTATGAGTGTGTTCTTTAATGTGAACCGATGGTAGAAATTATTTTCAATAATAATTCGTTTTGATATATTATATGTAATGTTTAAGTTAAAAAAAAAAAAATCAATTGAAACTGATCAATGGAGTAACCATGCACCTTTACTTGACGCCTGTAAATCGAGAAAAATGGCTAAAGTGGACTTAGATGAACACGTGTGTTCTATCCTAATTCAGATAGCGTTGCTCAAACGCGTAAAAGAGACCCTTATTAATTGCCATATTATATACATAACATGTTGTTGCTCAAGAAAATGATTAAGGAGAATGAAAAGAATAAAACAAAGCCGATGCACGTAATGGTTGTGTTGTCCTTAAGACAAAATTGTTACGTAAAATACTTACAGTTAATGACAAGCGCCTCTAAGATACAACAACTTTTGACTTATGTATAGTGATACTTCAAATATACAAAGTTTCGGCGAACAATACTATTTTTTGGAATTCTCAAGACTCAATGAAAAAAAAGATATAAAAAATAAAAGAACACAATACGTTTTATGAACTTTGAAAATTTAATGCAAAAGCTCTTAATTTTCAAGTTATGAATAATTTTATGTACGTGAGATTTAAAGAAGAAGGAAAACACCTCCATGGGGTTTAATTGTCAAAACACATCTTTTGGGACGTGCCCGAATAAGAATATTTTACGAGCACATTTGGACTCAAAATTAAGTTCCGTATTTTCCTACTCACGAATCCTCTAGATTTCTAGCATGCGAACTGAATGATCAGATTTCGTTTGGCTTATCTTGATATTCGTCAAAGACAGAATATTTTACGAATTCAACAATATATGAGTTACTTAAACTCAATTGCTCTAACCTTACATTTTTCACATATACAACTTAGAATTAAATTGTCATCCACCTTCAAATGATTTTGGAAATTTTCTAAGTCTTTCACTTAGAAAAATAGAGTTATAAAATTGATACAAAACCAATTTTTATTACACAAAAACATTTGAGAGATAGCAAGCCAGCCTCACGTTACATCACCGGCCCTCAGCCGAATCGACTTACCTCCATACGCTAGCTTATCCACTAAATATGTACCCGAATAAATACATACAATCACGTAAATTAAATTGATTTATTATTTCATATAGACGTAATAAATTGAACTTGATTATTATTTCACTTACAAAATATAAGAATTTATTAATTAGTACGCTATGAAGCATATCTGGCACTCATGCTCAAACAAAGACTAATGAATCAATTAAACAATGATCGTCACGATATCCATTTCTTATATTTACATACAAGCAAAAACACAAAATGAAAACAAAAACGAAACTGAAAGGAAAAAGGAAAAAAGAAAAAAAAAAAACGCAATTTCTTCAGAAAATTTCCAATTTGGGCGGCGGCGCGTGGCGCGACTTCTTAGCCGGGTGCGGGCTCTCTACTTCGTCCTCCACGCCAAACCCCGACCAGAACTCCGGCGGCGGCGGCAAGTTCAGGTCGAAACCACGTTGGCTGACAACGGTGGACCCCGCGCACTCCGACGAGGCGGCCTTCCCACCCTCGTAGTGACGGCGCTTGTGGCCACCGAGGGCCTGCCCCGTGGGGAAGCACATGTGGCAGATCGAGCACTCGTGGGTCCGGCCGCCGCTGGCCGACGAGGTGGCGGAGGCGGCGGGCTGGTCACCCCCGGCGGCGAGTTTCCGGTGGCTGGCCTTGTGGCCCCCCAGCGCCTGGTAGGACGAGAAGACCTTGTCGCAGACGGAGCACTTGTAGAGAAGCTTGGCCGGCGGTGGAAGGGGGGCGGCGCCGCCGCCACGGGCTAGCATGACAAGGCAGAGAGCGAGGTACTCCTCATCGGAGGGGTCGGGGTTGCGGGAGCGCTTGGTCCTCTTGCCCTTAGTCCAGTCGTACTGGAACGACGTCGTTGGGGTAGTAGGTGAATTCAGAGCTTCTAGCGCCATCATCAAATTTATTATAGATGATAAACTATTAAAGTAGGCTTAAAGGGTTTTTCTTTTTTTCTTTTTTCTTTTCTGACGATTATTGATTTGGGAATAGCGAGTCTTGAGTTATTTATATAAATAAATAAATATGAAAGCTTCGAGGATACGAGAAGTTGCGGGGCAAGTGTTGAGGAGAGTGAGACGGTTACTCAACTTGAGAGGAAAAAAAAAAAA